TATATATAAAAGTGGTTTCTTAATATGCAGTACAATTAATCATCCATCTGATTTTTACTCATCTCTCAAAACCTATGGATTCAAATCATAATTTTCAAGTTTAAGATATTCATGATGTTCACATCTTTTAAAATTATTTTCCGGTGGGTAAAATTTTCTCCAATATAAAATTCATCAAATGGGATAAAATTCAACATTTAGTATTTAGATCCCAAAAAAATTAGTAATGTAACTTATTTTTCACGTATATTATAGACACAAAATTTCAGTAGTTGTTATTAGTGTTGGAATTGACGGTCGATTGTAACATTGTATGATTTTTGACCGTCAATCAATCCTATCATTGGTGCATCATACCATGCCACGCAAGGGGAGAGGCCCACGAGAAAACCAAATGAATTGACTAAAGCACACCTTACCCAATTCCAAAAGGATAAAAAAAAGGAAAAATCTCAAAAAATGAATTTATCAATTTTTATAAAATAAAAATTTTATTTTAAAAAAAAATAAAAGATCAAGTTGAATCTTAACTTTATAACGAATATCATTTTTAAATCATCGCTGATATATCGTTTCAATATTAAGATATATAGATAATTATATATCAAATATAGTCAAAATATTGATTTGTTATAGTATATAATATTAATATTTATGTTAAAAATAATAAAAATTATAAACTTTGAATTTATTTTAGATTAAAAAATAAAATCGAAATTTAATTTAATAAAAAATAAAATTTAAGTATTATTTTATAAAAATCGATAAATTCGGATTTTTTTTAGATTTTCTCGTAAAAAACGCAGAAAAATATCAAAGGTCAACAAATTTCCCACGGCACCATCTTCCTTCGGACCTTTTTACAGCTTCCTTCCCCTTCGGCCTCTTTCCACATAATTATTTATTAAAAAATTAAGAGAAAAAAAAATAAAGGAAGTGAAAAAAAAAAGGAAATTGGAGGACGAATCTTCCAAGTCCTTACACGGTGTCTTCCATGAACTAAGACGAAGTAACAACACATCCTTAGACAAATCCAGTCTTCTGTCCTTCTTCCTCTTTCATGGTCTTGTCTGAGAAAGAGGAAGGACTTTTTTTTTTGCTGTTCATTGAATTGATCCAGAAAATTTTAGTGAACCCATAGAATCAAGTTCCTGGTTTGCTTCCCTTTTTGGGTTTTTTCTTCTTCTTATTTATAGGGTTTTAATCGTTAGAACTGGTTGGGAATCCACGAGTTGACCGAATTGGAAAGCTCTGTTTTTTTTTTCTCTCGTTTTGGATGTTCTTGTTCCTGGGTTTATCTATTTCGTGTATGGTGGGTTTAGGGCGTCGGACATTTACTGCATCAGAGTTGAGGTTTTTAGGGTTTTGAAGCATTAGGGTTTCGAAATTCTAGCTCGATTTGACGATCTGTTGTGGGTTTGAGTGAAAAGGGTATCTGAGAATTGAACCCAGATCAACGCAGTGATCGACAGTTTCGTCAATTTGGTACGTTAGACAAGATTCCGAGCTGAATTCCATTCTAAGGTTGATACTGGTGGATTAGCGAAGTGTTTGTGTAAATCTAGCTGATTAAAAGCCGGTTTCGTGATATCGAATTCAATCCTTTATGCTTTTGTTCATGGAAACTTTCAGGGTTTAGGACTAAAGTTCGATCCTTTAGCATAGTTAGTATTGTGTAGAAAGGGTTTTAGGTTACTAAACATGATGCTTAGCGTTCTGTTGTGTCTATTTGTGTTTTTGGGTATGAGGATTACTTCTGTATCTGCCTCTCTTGTCTGGTCTGTTGATTGTGGTTCTGACCGTTTGGCTTACTCGTCGTCCCGTCACCGACGAGAGATTTCGTTCGCTATCAATGGCAATTCGGTGGATAGAGCTCGTTTCTGTGAAGCCGTATGGTGTCACAAATCCAAAGGCTGTATCCTTAAGGATTCTTTCAGGGACGACTTATGCAAGATTCGTAATTTACTAGGTATGCTCCTAAACACGAGGGCCTTGTTAAAGATACCGATAAAACTACGTTGAAGTTGCCTGCTTTTGGCAGCTCGGATGGAAAAGGAATCGAGAAAAAGCTTAGATGTTACCCTTTACGATTTACGGGTTTATGCATTCATAAGAATCTAAGACTGTTTGTCTATGTTGTTGGAAATTTACTGAAAATATGTGGTCGTGTTATTCGGCTTGGATTATGAATAAACGAACCGAATGCCCACCCCTACGTCTGAGTATGAACTCGAAAACTTCTTGATCGATATTGCAAAGTTTTCGGGGCTTTTTCTTTTTTGGTCGGTCAGGCGTTCAACAAGTACTGTAGGGAGAAGGGTTCTGCAAGAAAAATCGGGAGAAGATTCCCGGAAACACAGAGCTGAATTGTTATCGTACCCTGTAAAAGCCGGCATGGCAGCAGGCGGGTTATTGCTCGTCTGTTGCGCTATTGTTTGTCCTTGTTTGCACAAGGAGAAGAAAGCAAAAGCTCATGAAGTTCTTGGAAAGGAATCGAACCCTGGTAAACAAAGGCTTCTCATCGTTAATTTTTGCACGAACTTGATCAGAAAGCTGGAAAATCTGTATGAATACGGTTTGAATAGATGTTGGAATCATATAACTAGTGGTGAAATTGCATAAGCATGGATGCCATTGCTCGAACATGAACAAAAATTACCCGAGAGTTTGTTATTTTTATCCAAACCTTTGTTACAATGGAGTTCCATTGAAATTTAGCCACGAATTCATTATGCTCGGTGATATCGAAGCAATCTTTTCAGTGTTTTCACTGTCCTGACCCAAACATAGAAGTTCCGCTTCCGTTGTTCCGTCCTATGTTTCTCGATGTTCTGTTTTTTCGTCGGTTTAGGCATATCATCCAATGATATATATTATAGATGTTCACTAATATTCTTGCAGGGGAGCAAGTTCTGAATTTCGAAATGAGTCCCCCGTCCGAGAAAATTCCGCCAAGCCCGTTCCGGGTACCTCCAAGCCCGTCTAGATACGCTATGTCCCCAAGGCCGAACAGGATCGGACCGTTGCATCTAAGCATGAGTCAGATTTTTAAAGCTACTAACAATTTCTCGGAGAGTAATCAGATTGGCGAAGGCGGTTTCGGAATTGTGTACAAAGGCTTTCTTGATGATGGTCCCGTTGTCGCCATAAAACGAGCGAAGAAGGTAGTTTTGTGATTAATCATTAATCTACAATTTCATATGGGTTCTCCCTTTTGATTTCGAGTTTTATTACATTCGGTTCGAACTTATATTACGCACGTATTGTCCAAAAATACGAGGAAGATCGAAACCGCTAATAAGATCTCGATCTTGATGGTTCTCTTCTTCTATATGATCTGAATTAGAATCATCACGCAGGAACATTTTGAGAATCTGCGGACCGAATTCAAAAGCGAAGTCGACCTTCTATCCAAAATCGAGCATCGGAATTTAGTGAAACTGCTTGGTTACGTTGATAAAGGAAATGAGCGTCTCATCATAACGGAGTACATTGGAAACGGAACTCTGAGGGATCACTTGGATGGTAAGAACTTTTTTAACCGTAGCCCGCGGGGATTTTTCAGATGTTTTTATCCTCTGAAGAACCTCGAGAATAACAGCTCCTCGTATTTTCGTACCTTGCAGGTGTCGGGGGAAAAATACTCGACTTCAACCAGCGGTTAGAGATCGCGATAGATGTCTGCCATGGACTGACCTATCTTCATCTCTATGCAGGTATTCATTTATATTCTTATAGAACATTCTCAAAGGACGAGTTTTTTCGTTATTTTGCATAGGAGTGCTTAATTTGGTTTATAATGGAAAACCTGAACCGATCCGAACAGAAGAACCAAACCGAATTCAATATAGAAATCGAATGGTTATAGTTTTTCTAAAACCGAACATAACCAAACTAAACTCTAACCGAAACTCGGAATGACCACACCTGTTTTTTACCGGTCTCGATTTTGTTTGATGATTTTTCGGGTGATTATGTTGGAACAGAGAAGCAAATTATCCACAGGGACGTGAAATCGTCGAACATTCTCCTGACGGAAGGCATGAGAGCCAAAGTTGCGGACTTTGGGTTCGCGAGAGGCGGTCCGTCGGATCCTAACCAAACCCACATCGTAACACAAGTGAAAGGAACAGTCGGTTACCTCGACCCTGAGTACATGCGGACATACCAACTCACTGCCAAGAGCGATGTCTTCTCGTTCGGGATTTTACTCGTCGAGATTCTCACTGGACGTCGTCCCGTGGAGGCCAAACGACCTATTGATGAACGGATAACTATCCGATGGGTAAGTGTTCCTTCACTCTTTCTTCTCTGTCTATGGACACATCAACCATAAGTAACCGATACTAAACCACATACACAAAAAAATCCGCTCTTTTGAGTAGCGGCGGACATTTTGGTTTTCGGTTGGGGTTCGGTTTGGTTTTATTCGAGTTCAATTATTTTGGTTGTAGAAAATCTATATCTATTTAGGTTTTATTTTAGATTCGGTTTCGGCTCGGGCTAAGTTTTTTAATGTTTATTTTGTTTGTTAGTTTTATATTAGACTCGGATTCAGGTTTTTGGTTATCAAAATATCATATTAATTTGTGTTTTATATCGAGTTCGGTTCGGTTACGTGTTATTCGGCTTGGATTATGAATAAACGAACCGAATGCCCACCCCTACGTCTGAGTATGAACTCGAAAACTTCTTGATCGATATTGCAAAGTTTTCGGGGCTTTTTCTTTTTTGGTCGGTCAGGCGTTCAACAAGTACGAGGAAGGGAAGGTTCGGGAACTGGTGGATCCGAACATGGGGGAAGAAGTGAGCGAGAAGATACTGCGGAAGATGTTCGGTCTGGCGTTCCACTGCGCGGCCCCGACACGGAACGAGAGACCGAACATGCGGACCGTTGGGGAGCAGCTTTGGACCATAAGATCCAACTATCTCAAGCTATCAAGGGAACTAATATAAATAAATAAATATATATATATTAAATAAAAGCACAAAAACTTGATTCTGTTTTTGAGTTTGTGTTCGTGTTGGTATTGTGCCTGTCTTTCTATGTAAAGATGACTTCAGATTGTGGCTAGTTGATGAACAACCGGTCATAGTCTTGACATATTATTGAAATTAGGGTTTAGGGTTTGGATTTGATTAGATTATATTACAAACAACAAATAATATACCGTTGCAGAGGAACTGTAAGATGTTAGATAACAATGGCAGTTACAAAGGAAACAGGACAAGAAGAGAGTTTCGATATTTGTGTTGGGTTTGGCTCGAAAATAGTTTCGTTCGGTTTTGTAGATTTTATCAAATAGATATTAATCGGTTATTATATTATATTCAATTCGTTTTACTTTCGGTTTCTATTTGGTTTTATCCCGGTTTTGATTAAAAATTAGATTTTTTTAAAAAATTCGGTTTTTTGATTTTTTAAAATTTTGGTTCGTTTCGTTCTCAAAAAATTCGATTTTTCTAAAATTAATATCGTTCGTAAATTTTAGACAGTTCGAATCGAAAAAATACCGCATTTTTCGTTTCGATTCTAATCGAATCGAAACGAAACATTCACCCTTTTTTTTTTGTATATTCAATCCACACACACTATATCTACGTATAGACATATATATATATTATGTACCATATATTTTTATTATTTATTATTTTATTTTTTATGTTTATGGGACATTGACAACCCAATCAGTGTCACCCTTACGTGTAAATTTTTTGTAATCTATTTTTTTTTTGTTAAATTCGTCAACGGTTTGAATATAGATAAAAAAATACAGGTTTCGTTTATTTTGGAATTTTTATCAAATACAGGCTTTTTTTTTTTTATAAAAGCGCAATAGAACATTTTAAAAAGTTTGGTTTTTTTTACCAAGAGGCACAAAAAAAATATATTACAATATTCCGATGACTAGAAATTAACTACAATTGACTACGATAATTTATTATGAAATTATTATTATTTGATTTGATTTAAATGATATAAACACTTTTTGTATTATTATCATAAGTGGAGTCATATCTCACGGCCTTGGCCCGTATGGATGACGTGGCGTTATATCATTGGCGGAAATGACACAAATGGGCCCACGCCTTCCTCGTGTCGGCAGCCTTTCCAATTCCCGAGCATTCCTCCTCCGCGGTCTGAATCTTTACATTAACAGTGAAATTAATCCCTGAAAATCTTACATTAACACTTAATTAGTCCCAATAATTTTTTTAATCCTTTTTTTTACATTTACAAAAGAAGAAAAAAAAATATCCCTTTTCGTCTTCTTCTCTTTAGAGGCCGAATCTGGTGGCTGTTAGTGCTGCAACTGTGCGGACGGTGCAAATCCAAAGTTCCGGCGGAGAGATTATGGGATTCATCTTCGGACTGGTCATCGGATTCGCCGCCGGTCTCGCCATTGTCGTCGGATTTGTCCGAGCGGAGAATGCTCGATCCAAGCTTCGCTCTGAACTTGTTAGCTCCACTTCGTTTAGATTCTGGGTTTCGTTCCCTGTTCGAATGATTCGCTTTCAGATTCAACGGAGTTTGACTCTTTTTTTGTGCAATTTTTTCTGGATTATTCTTAGGCGGCGACTGTGGCTGCTTTTGCGAGGATGACGGTGGAGGATTCGAGAAAGCTTTTGCCTCCTGAGTTTTATCCTTCGTGGGTCGTCTTCTCCGAGCGTCAGAAGTTGAGTTACTGAGATTCTCTTTGTATGTGTATGCATATGTTTACATAGGTTCAGTTTGTGTTTCCCCAAGTTTAGATATGTCGAAAGAAGAACATTTGGGGGAAGGAAATTTCATAGAATTCTGACATATATACGAGTGTTTGTGTGAATCTATCTGTGCTATATTCCTCTACCTGTTCTAAGCGACTGATACCCTTGGTCCTGTTCTTTGTTTACTTCAGTTGACATGGCTGAACCAGCATTTGACTAAGATCTGGCCTTATGTTGATGAGGTAGGTTTTCAAATTGTGGATTTTTCTGCGTCAAAATCGATGAGTGAACAAGAAATGTTGTTTAGATTTGAGAGGGCAAGTTTTCTTTAAGAATAATGTTATTGTTTTCATTTTCCAAATTTTGGTTATGTGGAGTTTAGGCTGCATCAGAGCTTATAAAGGCATCTGTGGAGCCAGTTCTCGAGCAATATAGACCCGTTATATTGGCATCGCTAAAGTTCTCTAAGCTTACACTTGGTACTGTGGCTCCTCAATTTACAGGTTAGTTTTGCATTGTTATTTGTTTCATGATCTTTTAACTATCCTATGTGAGGGGTACTGAGTGTGTTCGGCTGAATCGTGTTAAATTTGGTTGGTGAAATTCCATGGGTTGTGGAGTTTTGGATTCAGTTTCAGAATTTTATGTTGTATTGGCGCAATGCATGTGAATTTGGATTTATGTTAATTGGGAGTTAAACTCCAACCTTGAATTTGCTAGTAAAGCTTAATTGATCATTTTACTGTTATTTCGTTGAAGATTTCATGAGTGTGCGTGTATTTTTTGGTGTTGTGTAGGAGTTCAAATCATCGAAGGTGGAGAAGATGGGATGACCATGGAACTGGACATGCAATGGGATGGAAATCCAAGTATAATACTCAATGTCAAAACCCTTGTCGGTGTATCACTTCCTATTCAGGTTCTCGATATTGCTTCATATCCGCTTTCACCTCATATCTTGCAAAGAAGAAAACTGACATGTTCTTTCTTTTTCCATGTTTTTGTTTTAGATTGATTGGATATATTTTTGTACTATAGGTTGACTGCAACTTATATTTTATTTGTTTCTTTTTAACAGGTGAAAAACATTGGGTTTACCGGTGTTTTCAGGCTGATCTTTAAGCCACTAGTTGACGAGTTCCCCTGCTTCGGAGCCGTGTGTTTTTCCCTCAGAGAAAAGGTTGGTACCTTTTTCAAGCCTTTGGAGTTATAATCAAGGGTTTAATTGGCGCGTAGGTTTTACAAATTCCTCTTAGTTTTGCGTCGTTTTATCATCCATCCTTGGTGTAGGTCCAAACATCATACCTCGTATTTATGTTCTCGGTTATGGATGAAACTGTAACAAGGAAAAAAAAATTGGGTTGCTACTGATCACTGTTCTGTTGGATTATCTTTGGTGTCCGGATTTTGTGTTGCAGAGAAATTTGGACTTCAAACTTAAAGTTATTGGAGGTGATGTTACTGCAGTTCCTGGAATTTCTGATGCTATTGAGGTTTGATCTGATACTTTGTTTCCTGGTTATAACCCATCATACTTCATCAACATACATAATCCGGGCCTATTGAACTGCAATTTCGAATGTTTTATCGGTTAGCTTTACTTTTGAGAAAGTTGTGAAGAAGATGGTTCCGCTCAATTCATCTTCCTTCATTTACGTGGAATCTAATTCTTTTCTTTATTTATCCTTAGTCTCCGTATACAACAGACAAGAACTGTCAAGGTGGTTGTCTAAGATTTGACTAAACTATAACATCGCTTACAGATTGGAACAGGCAGTGTTTAGTTTTGTGCTAATTTGTATCTCAATGTTCTTACAAATGCATGCTTTTACTTAGAAGCATTAACACCTGTTCTTTTTAACTTCTGGTCTCAGTGCTTTATTCTTGTAGATGTTGAATTTATTATGCCCATGTAATTTCACATGCAAACAGGAAACTATACGGGATGCTGTCGAAGACTCCATCACATGGCCTGTCCGGAAGGTTATCCCGATTTTGCCCGGTGATTATAGGTATGCCACTGATGGAAGACATTGTGCTGAAACTGTCGACATAATGTCAAAATTTGCGGAATCTTCAAGCGCCCGGATGTTGAATTTCTCTAACCAGCTGGTAGAAATTTGCTATCGATACTGGATTTTGCTCTAATAGCTCAACTTGCATCTCTTTTCTCAGTGATCTGGAACTAAAGCCTGTCGGAATATTGGAGGTGAAACTTGTGCAAGCCAAGAACTTGACCAACAAAGACATAATCGGGAAGTCAGACCCGTTTGCTAAGTTATTTATACGTCCTTTGCGAGAAAGGACTAAAAGAAGCAAGACGATTGTAAGTAGTTCCATTCAATCTCGGTTCTCTTTTTGAAGGGTGTTTTCTTCTAGCTGACGTAGTTTTTAAAACGGTTATCATAGAACAACGACCTGAATCCGATCTGGAACGAGCACTTTGAGTTTGTCGTGGAAGATGCTTCCACTCAACACTTGGTGGTAAGAATTTACGACGATGAGGGTGTCCAAGCATCCGAGCTAATCGGTTGTGCCCAAGTCAGGCTTTGTGAACTTGAGCCCGGTAAAGTGAAGGATGTGTGGTTGAAGCTCGTTAAAGATTTGGATATACAGAGAGATAACAAATACCGAGGAGAGGTGATTTTCGCTAAAAAATATTCTCGGATCAGATCATTTTCCCGTAAAATGAATGCATTATAGGTCTGATTCTTTTCCATTTAGGTTCACCTCGAGCTTCTGTACTGCCCTTACGGAACAGATAACGGCTACACAAATCCATTTGAATCAGCATCTATGACTTCTTTGGAGAAAGTTCTTAAGAACGGAGCAGATGCAACAGATATAACTGAGGATGAGAAGTCACTAACTCGGAAAAGGAAAGAGGTTATAGTAAGAGGGGTACTCATTGTTACCGTGATATCGGCTGAAGACATACCGGTTCAGGACGTGATGGGAAAAGCTGATCCTTATGTCGTTCTCACAATGAAAAAATCCGGAGCCAAAAATAAAACCCGGGTGAGATTTTTCTCGTTTTTCCTCGACGATCATCATCGCTTCTCTTTCTCAGTGTATAGTTTCATGCTTACTGTCTCGAGTTTCTTCCCGTTTCAGGTCGTAAATGACAGCTTGAATCCAGTTTGGAACCAGACTTTTGATTTCGTAGTCGAGGATGGGTTACACGACATGCTAGTTCTCGAAGTTTGGGACCACGACACCTTCGGAAAGGTAATATATGCATATAGAATTCTGTATATATGTATATATTTCGATCGGATAATGCCATTTTGAGCCTCGGATTCTTCTCGATACGCAGGATTATATCGGGAGATGCATCTTGACACTGACAAGGGTCATAATGGAAGGTGAATACAAGGACTGGTTCGAACTAGACGAGGCCAAATCCGGTAAGCTGCATTTGCATCTCAAGTGGATGCCCCAACCCATCTATCGCGACACCTAAACCGTCTTCTCGCCATACGAAAGATGGCATCTTCGAGTGATCTCGGGTTTCTTTTCGCCCTACCACTAGAGAAATACCTGATAAAACCTCGGTACAAAAAAACGATTTCTTTTCCAGGTTGTACATTCTCCTACAGGGACTTAGGTCCGAGGTAAAAAGCCTTGTTGTGTCTTGTGTTTGTGCAGCTTCATAGAATGTGTTTCTGTTTTTTTTTTGGTTCTCCTAAACATGCCACTGAAATAAATGTCTTTCTGGATGGTCATTTCGGTTTTCTATTTGGGTTTTGTTATTTCGGTTTTAGAACAATTATAATCATCGGTTTGTTGAATTTGATTCGGTTTGTTTGATTTTGATTTATTGATAAAAGGCTCATTTTTCCATGTCTTAAATAACTAGGCAAACTAGGGTTGAATCCAATTGAATTCGGTTTAGTTCAAAACCGAATCGGTTCAATTTGTCATTTTGGTTTGATTACCGGTTAAGAAAGTGAAACTTGCTAAACTCTTCGGTTTAGTTCAAATACGAATTGGCTCCGATTAATTTCTTTCGACATCTGCTGATTAGATTTTGACTTTAGGAGTTCAACGCAGTAAAAAAGAAAGCCGCACATCATTTGCCGAAACGACATCGTTTGCAAAATTTAAGAAGATCCAAAACGACAGCGTATTGGATGAGATTTATAAGTCAGAAGTTTCAGATAAACCCCTAAAGAATTATTTCCTTTTAAAAAGAGCACATTTCCCACGATGTATTTCAGATCGGACCCTACCCGGAATCGATTCCTTCTCTCATTTTCCTCCCCCTAATTCCGAAATTCGCCGAGCCCTAGGGTTTCGGATTTCGTAACAAAGGCCCCTCTGTTATCTTCTTAATTCCTGGTAAGTCATTCCCTCTCTGCCCCTAATTTCTCTTTATTCTCATCGATTCCTCGATTCTATCGTTTCTCTGGTCATGATTGGACTATATTTTTTGGATCCGATAAGTCAGAAATCCTTGTTGAACAATGTGGTTGAATGCGTAACTTGTTTTCTGGTCAAGTTTAGATGTTTGGGATTTGAGAATGTTGAATCAGGGGAAAAATATTAGGGTTTGTCTGCTTTTGACGAATTGTTGATAGGGTTTAGGAGGAGTTTATGTGGGTTGGAGACTTGGAGTGTTTCTATGATGTTGTCTTGTTCTTTGGCCTTTAATTTGATATACATGAACTTCGTTCATTTTTAAAGATTCTGCTTAAATTGGTTCCTCTTTTGCTGCGACTGGTGTTGAAGATTGAACCGCAGTTCTTTGATCTGGGTTTGCCCCCTTTTTTTTTCTGCTGAGATTTGCCCTTCTTGGTGAACAAGCAAGCCTTTTTATGATTGAAAATTTCAACTTCTCTTCAATATAGGAAGAGCAGAAAAGGGATTTTGGGTGATAATCTCATGCTAAGATCAGTTCTCGATTGCTGCTAGTGAACTGGATATTGAGCTAATTGTTTTGAGTTTTTGCAGAAGTAAGAATGGATGCCCGCTTTATTTATATCTAAAAGTTGTAGCATTTACCTTTGAACAAAATGAACATGATCGTCTTTTCCTGGTTTGGTAGTCTGACTGCAGCTCTAAGAAGCCATAGCACATACGATGCCACGGTTGATTTTCTCTTATTTTATTTGTTCGTTGTTTTAACAATCAGCGTGAATGGGGAAAGGGAAGCTTATATTGATCTGTCAATCTGGCGGCAAATTTGTGACAAATGATGATGGCATCATGACATATGTCGGGGGAGAGGCAGAGGCCATAGATATTAATCATGAAACCACGTTCGACGATCTTAAGCTAAAGCTGGCAAAGCTCTTGAACTTAGACTATGATTCTCTATCCCTCAAGTACTTTCTCCCTGGAAACAGAAGAACGCTTATCACCATGAAGCAAGAGAAAGACATGAGAAGGATGTATGATTTCCATCTGAGCTCAGTCACAGCAGAAGTGTTTGTTACAGGAAAAGAGGGTTTCCGCCCTGAAGCAGCAGTTGTCTCGCCTGGTAACAGGTACTGTTTCTCTTACCTCTGTTTTTTTAGCTATGTCATGTCCAGAAAGCAACCGGTCTACCTGTGTTTCTTGTTAGCTTTGTCCTGTAGAGAAATTTACTTTTTTTAGAGATCGTAGCAGACACCCAATGATGCATCAATTGAGCAATGCGCACGTGATACTGCATTTCTGCCGATGCAGATATTACCAAATGCAATTGGAGAGACATATAATAAAATTAGTTAGTTGAGGATAAACATTTTGTTGACATCCTGAGAGATTTGAGTAACAGATAGTCGTAGAGAATAAATATCCAGAGGCCGTTATCTACCTAGTATCAGCAGAAAGAATAACAATGGATCGAAACGGTAGATTAATAGTGGGAGAAAGATATTCCAGGTTTCTCCTCACATTTTTTGGAGTGAGAATGCAAGTGAGAGTGATCAAAGAGTATACCAGAGCAGAGATAAACATGTCCAATGGTAATTGCGCCTTCACAGGTTTACTTCGATGTCTCATTATAAAGTTGCAGCATATCTTGTTGATTGTTAATTGGCTTCTATGAGTTTCATATATATATATATTAACATTTTGTCTTATTGCCGCTAACTTGGGATTAAGACGATGTTGTTGCTGTCGTCTTATTGCTGCTGACCTAAGAGAGTTGAAAATCAGACACATTGCTCAAGTGAATGAAAATCTTATGTCTCCATATCATACTTGTATAAAACACTTCGTTTCTTGTTATCAGGACAATTAATACACGAGCAGCTGAGATGGAGATTGCTACACCTGTGGCATCCGGAAGTATAGCCAATGTACCAATTCAAGTTGATACTGGAACACATGAGGAATATACCCTTGTTGATGCCCGTGTTAGATCTGGAAATGTGACCCCTAGAGTCATTTCTCATTGCAGCGGCCTTGTTGATATTCCTGTAACGGTATCGACCAATCGGGTGGTATCCACCAATTTAACCTTCAAAAGATCCAAGAGGAAAGGCAAGAAGAATAGTCCTGCAACCGGTATTTCGAAATTGACCCCCAGAAGCTCTAAACGATCAGCCAATGGTAGCAATTCAGGTAGCAAAAGCTTCTCTCCCATGTCTCAGAGTGTTGTTTGTGGTGTGATCAGTAGTCCGACTAAAAGCACTAGGAAGCGAAGACATTCAATACATGAACTGAACAGTGGTGCTCAGGATGAAACTGTCATGGATACAAGGAGAAGATCCCTGAGAAACAGGGGACAAATTCAGAAGCCTGTAGTAGAAACCAGTGATGATGATGACTCCATCAACACTGATGAAGATGATGAAAACTCTGATGAGGAGAAGGATCATATGCGGGATGTTGCGATTTTCGACCCTGAAACTGAGGATATTATTGACTCTGAACATCTGATGAACTATTCCATGTCTGATGCTAACAGTGGTTCTGTTGAGAACTTAGTAGCCTCATGGAAACGCTGTATTACCGGTGTAGGTCAGGAATTTGAGAGTGTTGTCGAATTTCGAGATGCACTGCAGAAATATGCCATTGCTTGCCGTTTTGGTTACCGATTAAGGAAGAACGAGTCAAATCGTGCCTGTGGTGTTTGTTTGATTGGAGGCTGTCCTTGGAAGATATATGCATCGTGGGTTCCGTCTGAAAGCGTGTTTAAGATAAAAAAGTTCAGTAAAAGGCATACGTGTGGGGGAGAATCATGGAAATCTGCTCATCCGAAAAAGAATTGGGTGGTGAGTATCATCAAGGAGAGACTGCAGGAGAATCCAAACCAGAAGACTAAGAGCATTGCTGACGCGATTCTTCAGGATTTTGGTATCGAACTAAGTTATTGCACGATAAGGCGAGGCATTGATGAGGCCAGAGGAGGAATTCATAGTTCATTCAAAGAGGCATACAAGTACTTGCCTCGTTTCGTTAGTAAAGTAATGGAGGCAAACCCTGGAAGTTTGATCGATCTCGTGGTTGGGGAGGACGGAAGATTTCAGCGGCTCTTTCTGTCTTTCCAGTCTTGTATACATGGCTTTCAATCTGGTTGTCGACCTCTACTTTTTCTCGACGCTATCCCGTTTAAGTCCAGATATCATGAGGTTTTGTTGACAGCTTCTGCATTGGATGGGGATGATGGTGTGCTTCCAGTAGCATTTGCCCTTGTGGATATCGAGACGGGTGAAACTTGGCGTTGGTTTCTCGAACAGCTAAGGTTAGCAATCCCTAGCTCGCGGACTTTAACCTTTGTATCCGACAGAGAAAAAGAACTGGCAAGCTCGGTTTTGGAGATATTCGAGAATTCTCATCACGGTTACTCCATTCATTACCTGATGGAGGATTTTATGCGAAACCTGAGAGGACCCTTTCATGGAGATGGAAAGCCATCTTTGCCGTATTACTTGCTCGCTGCAGCACGGGCTGATCGACTCGACGGGTTTAAGATTTACTCCGAGCATATCAAACGAATCTCTCCTAAAGCTTATGATTGGGTAATGCAGATCGATCCAAAGCATTGGACCAGCGCATTGTTCGAAGGTGAACCCTACAGCCACATCACATCCGACGTCGGGGAGATCTATTCAAAGTGGATAGAGGAAACACAGGAAGCATCCATCGTTCGGAAGCTCGAGGCACTCGTGGGTCGGGTAGTAGAGTTGGTGAATAGCCGTCAAGAAAGCTCGAGAGGCTGGTCTAGCAAGCTCGTGCCGACAAAGGAGGAGAGTTTAAAGGAAGAATGTAAGAAGGCAAACACGCTAAAGGTATTCATTTTCTCCGATAACCTTTACGAGGTTCACGATGGGGCGGTCCAAATCGTGGATATAACCAAACAAAACTGCAGCTGTTTCGGGTGGAAACCCACGGGACTTCCATGTCAGCACGCTATCGCTGTCTTAAACAGCAAAGGAAGAGACCTGTATGATTATTGTTCTGGTTTCTTCTCGGTAGAAAGCTACCATATGACATATTCCGAGGGTCTGAGTCCGGTCTTAACGTTTGGGGAAAGTGCGGAAGAAGAAGAAGAGGAGGAGGAGGATGAACAGCAAGTGCTTCCTCCCCCGTTTTCGCGAGTTCCGGGGGTCGAGAAGAGGATAAAGGACCGGAAAAGAGGTCGGTCTGTGTGTTGTACGAGGTGTGGAGGAGTTGGACATAACAAAGCTACTTGCAAGGACGATCTCTAGGCCCTTTTTTTTTTTTTTTGCTTCGGTCATCTGATCTGGAACTCAGTTCTCAGTTCTTGTCTCTTCTGTAACTCTCCCTGTTCTGATGGGTCATAATACACTTTTTGTACAGTTTGTATTCTCAGTTTTTTTTTTTTTGCCAAAATACACTTTTTTTTTAATCTCTCTTTATAGATTCTAATGTTGTATCCATAACCATAAGGTGCAGCATTTTTTTTTAAAATGTCGCTGCTGCTGAATTTTCTCAAGTTCGTAGTTTATGAAAATATTAAGCAAAGTGAGGATAACAAAAAAAAATGCCAAATTTTAAAATAGCGTCCAATTTTGTTTGGGTAAAGTTTATAGATAAGTATACTCTATTTGGCCACCGTTTTTGAAACAAATTAACTTTTTTCAGAATTGTAATACAAACTCAAAAAAAAAATTATCATTAAATTAAAACCACTGTAAATCATTTTTTTTTTTGGAATTGTAAGATATATAAAACTATAATTGTGAAAGACTACAACTTTTTTGGATAATAAACTATAAAATCGAGTTTATTTTTAGAAATTGCGTTGTCGACTTTACCGTTCACTTTGTTGGCCATATCAGTCTTTTTGGGTTGTGTTTCGCGTTGCGGAGAATGTCGGATAGAAAACGTACACATGGATACGTGTCCGACAATGGAAAATTTGAGAAAATTGGCTTCTAAATCCCAACGACTTGTGTGTGTTTTTTTTATAACCGTGTCAATCGGGCCGGGTCGGCCCGAATCCGCACTTGGTCTGAAGCTTTTGGATTGGGGTTGGACCGATCCGATTTTTTTCGGATCTATATAACTAAGTCCGAAACCAAACCCTATATATTCTGGATTCGGTTCAGATAAAGATAACAGACTCATTCACTGTACTATCCATAAAGTCAATTCTAACAAGATACGCACTCATATTTCGGAAATATAAAATACAGAAAAATAAATAAATTTTGCGGTCGAACTACCAAAGCATAATAGACTA